CAGAGTGCTGTAGTGTTATGTAGCACTTTTAAAAAAGGTTGTATACTTTGCAGAGTGCTGTAGTGTTATGTAGCACTTTTAAAAAAGGTTGTATACTTTGCAGAGTGCTGTAGTGTTATGTAGCACTTTTAAAAAAGGTTGTATACTTTGCAGAGTGCTGTAGTGTTTTGTAGCACTTTTAAAAAAGGTTGTATACTTTGCAGAGTGCTGTAGTGTTATGTAGCACTTTTAAAAAAGGTTGTATACTTTGCAGAGTGCTGTAGTGTTATGTAGCACTTTTAAAAAAGGTTGTATACTTTGCAGAGTGCTGTAGCATTTTGTAGCACTTTAATAAAGGTTGTATACTTTGCAGAGTGCTGTAGCGTTTTGTAGCACTTTAAAAAAAGGTTGTATACTTCGCAGAGTTTTGTAGTGTTTTGTAGCACTTTAAAAAAGGTACCATTGGGCCAATGGAACTGTAGATTCTGTTTACCGTCCACCGCCCGCATGTGCTTGCAACTACCGCAAAAATTTTTCATTATTAATTATTTTCATTATTTGTCATTATTTTTACTTTTACGCATCGAAACTTTCAAATCAGTCAGCATTGGTTCGGTACACTCGGAAATTCACGAGTCTGAGTCCATCTGACATGTGCAAATTCGAAAACAATGGTGTGACAAAGAAATTTTTAGCAAAGGAAACTGGCCAAAAATGATAAAAGAATGCTGGACAAAAGTGTTGATGATCGAGATCAAAAGAAAACGATTTAAGGATAATTTCTGGTCGGAAAATAGATAATAACAAAAATAATGAAAAATGAATAATGAAAAAGAACCGCATCAGATTTTTTAATTTCTCGGACGGTAAACAGAATCTACAGTTCCATTGGCCTTGTATACTTTGCAGAGTTTTGTAGTGTTATGTATCACTTTAAAAAAAGGTTGTATACTTTTTTTTTAATTTTAATTTGCCCTCCAAAAAGATGTATATATATATTAAGCTATTTACAATATTATATTTTTATAAGGGCTAGGAGCCTACTAGAAACCTTGACAGGCTTTTTACAGGCAAAACAAAACAATTAATAACTATAGTCTATAATCTTATATACAAAGTTGATTGTTCAATTGATTATACATAGTATATAGCAACGTAAATTACATGTATAACCACTACCTAGTACATGTTAACATGCATATATATAATATACACATATACACACACATATATACACGCATATGTATATACATATATATAGTTGCAATGTATGCATATAGAAACTTGAAGAAGTTCAAAATACATGAAATTGTCGTTTAGTCTATTAAGTCTAAGATTAAGTACTGCAGTTTTGTAAGAGGTGCTTTTTAATTATTTTTTTCAAAGATTGAAGGGATCTAATATTTTTATATTTTTTTCCAAACCATTCCAAATATCAACTCCCTTGTTTTAAAGAGTATGTTTTACATAATTGGTTCTTTTATAAGATTTATGAAGCTGTGATTTTTTCCTTGTATTGTATTGATGAACAT